AGCCCCAGGTTCTCTCCGTCACACCAACAGCACAACTTTCACCTGCAAATTGCCTCTCACGAGCAGAAACCTCCCCTCTCCTGATCTACTGTGTTTGTTTCCAGCATAACACAGCATAAATCAGCAGTGACCCACCGGCCATCCTTACTATCACCAAGGACTACCATTCTGATCCTGCTTCAATAAACCCAGAAGAAAGTGCTCCTGGAGTCCCCCAAGCCCTGGACCAGCAGTTTTTACAGTGGGATGCAGGTTAATATTAGGATTGAAAACTTCAGTGAGGGTTACGACAGCCCTACAAAAAATGGTTTCTCTTTGCCAGTGGTGTTTCTTTTTAAAAACCCCTTCTGCAAATGGGAGGATATGGAAAGAAGAGGTATCTGGGCCTGAAAGATGTTCTCCAGCAGATTATAACAGATTTCAGGCTGATGAAATTGGCAACCTAAAAATCCAGTTGGTGCCCCCTTAAATCTCCTTGAGGCTGACCCAGACCCTAAGAAGAAAAGTCCTACACTGCAGTAAAGTGTAAATTGGCTCTTTAGGGCATCCAGAAAAATTTACATTGAAAGGAGAGGAGAATAGATTGTAACAGGCCAACATCTTGCTGGCAGTAAAGTTTACTAGCTCAGAATGTTTTATTCCCTTTTCTTTCAGATGGGAGGTTATATAAAGCGAGCTTTCCATCAAGGCACATAAACCACATCCACTTGATAAGTGATTGCAGGAGGTCTCTGTTGAGGATAATGTGACATCCTGACCACCTGATGCGGAGCCTAGAGACACATCCAGCATTGCTGCTGTGGGGGCACAGATTTTAGCCAAGGAAGGCAAACACAGCCCAGAAATCCAGAGTAGTGGCCACAAATAATTTTCATATGTTCACGACCAGACTGGGCACATCCCAGCAGGTGGCTTGTTAAACACAGCATGGAAGCTGGAAGCATTCACAGCACAAAGACCCTTTCCAGGACAAGCTCCAAGTCCTTGTGGACACTCCACATCTCTGAATAAAGCAGGGTGAAACCTGTTAGTATAGCTGGAAAGGGCAAGGACCTTTTCTGAATTAATTGCCCAGTAGCTCCATCCACAGTGAGGCATCCAGAAAGCAGGGCAGTGAGCTGAGCATAGGATGTGTTGTTATTTGCATTTCCCATGTGTTTCACTGCCCTGACCAGATCCCAGTCCCACCACTGAGGGCATGGGCAACAGAATATGAAGTAGGAAACAACTACACACGAGAGGAAGGCAACAGCAGGGGCTGAAATAGGAAACGCTGCACCCAGAGCAGAGGTCCCCCCACGACTGCTCTAGAACAGAACAGGGGAGCAGCTGAGGGTCCCAGTTTCAGCCTCCAATCCTGGAAGAGAGCAGCAGGGAGGTGGCTGTCCACATGGCTAGTCCCTTGCACAGACGCAGCAGGGAATGAACTGGCCATGCAGTGGATAATGATGTTTGTGGATCAGAGAGATGGCCACTGGGAGAAACATGAAGACACAAGGCTGCCGAGAGAGCCACAAGCACTCTGGCATCATGGTGGCAAAACCACAAGCCAGCACAGCCCCATCATCCAGTCCTTGAAATTCAGCTTGAGTACTGGCAGGCAGGACTGGATGGTTCACAAGGAAAAGAAAGGGAAAGTCCTCTTGGAGGAAGAGGAGTTTATATGCAAGTGAAAACCTTGGAAATACTTAATCACATCCAGGAAATTTCAAAACCAACACAGGGCTCTCTCTTCCCTGCCACCTCCCCTCTATCTTATCACTTCCCACCCTGAAATTCAGGCTGGAGGAAAGCATCATCTCGCTCCTCTCAAGGACCTGAGCACCACACACATCCCTGCTCACTCCAAACCCAGAGCTGTTTCCACAAAACACCAGCACTGTGCTCCCTTTGCCTATATTCTCAGGTTTCAGCAGCAAAGATCCCTTTGCAAAAGCATCTTCACAACTCGGCAGAACCACATGCCACAACCCGCATCCTCCAGACTTGACATTAACTTCATCAACACAATCACATGCACAAGAACGACAACAAAAAAAAGAAAAAAAAAAAAGAAAAAAAAAGGCAGCAAATCCTTGAAACTTCTGCTCTGAGACTCTGGTTTTAAATTACCAACATGGGAGCAGGTCTGGGCTGTTAAGTGACTGGGCTCCTCTCGAGTGGAGAGTGCGATACAACAGTGACGTTTGATACAATGGCAAGGCCAGATCAGTGTGCCCGGCGCTTTGCTCGTGCACTCGCCTGTTTGCCTCCCTCTTCTCTTAAAGTGCAATTATTGACATGTTCTCCTCCTTAACCATCAGGTTTATATGCTTGCCAATGACTCCTGAACATGTGTAAACAATTATTTTTATTTTCTTGCAAAACCAAAATGTTGCATATTCTTTTGGATAAACAGACTCGGGTAGATTTTCATGAGCCCTGCTACATAATTTATTAGTTTCCAAACTCTGTAAAACTAAAAGCTCCAGTAAAGTTCAAATAAATTTGTGATTTCAAAGTAATTTTGAATGGACTATTCCTGCTCCTGCCAAATGTTATTTGGTTGATTTAAATGGAAATTCTCAATCTGCACAGGAGGGGCTCCTGCATTGTTTTGTTAGATCAAATAAAAGAACAATATTTGGGGTCAGAAGCCCAGGAGCACAAAGCATGACATACAGGGGGGAAGGGGCACAGAGAAAAACCTCTTCTGTCCCAGAACTGTTGCAGGCTGCAAAATGAAGCACACGGTCTGCTTGAATGCTCACTGCTTTGAGGGGGAAAGCTGGGGACTGAAATGGCATCACAGGAGCTCCATTGCACACTGCTCCCTGTCCTGCTCCGGCTGGAGCTGGATCCTAATGCTGCAACGAGGTGAGTGAGCCAGACCAGCCACCCCAGTGTGGCTGAGAAAGATATTTCACAGCACTGGGATGGGAGATGCAGAGGGAGCAGAATCCCAAGGGTTTTCAAAGCAAACAATCACTGCTTGACACTTCACATACTGTGACATGGGACCCTCCAGAAACAAGGAAATCAGAGGAAAAAAAGTTCAGACAGACAGAGGGAGAAAGGCTTTCTTATTTGCACACATAAAATGAGAGCATTTTTGCAGCTCTCCACTGGGCAGCACTGAGCTGCACCATGCTGGCCCGTGCTGGGCTGATCACATGAGGGTACCTGGGCCAAAATTGGGATTGAGCAGGAAAGAAAGGAGCAAATGAACCAGGCCGTAGCCATGGATCTTGGACCCTCAGCCCAGCTCCTCTTCCTGAGACCCTTCTGCCACTGCCAGATCCTGTGTGAGTCCTATTACCTGTCCAAAGCCTGACAGGGAATAAGAAGAGGAATAAATAGAACAGTTTAGGACTTCTAGCTCCCCACAGGGAATGTGGCAGGATGGGACCAACCTGCCCTATTCCCCTATCAGCTGGATTTTAAATACTTCCAAAGAGTTTACTTTTGGCACTGTGGTGGCCCCAGCAGATGTTTGATGCCACCAGAACGGGTGGCTGCAGGCTTCCACCCTCATATCAACTTCACAGCCAGCACTGGTCCCACACGTGGAGCATAAGGACAGGGCTGTGAGACACCCTCCCTGTTCCATGGATCGCCCACCGCTCCCACCACGCGGGAAAACCACGTCCTGAGACTCCCCTGTTGAACTCCCTGAGAGACACAAAGCCCAAACACAGGCTTGAATTTCATACAGCGTCTCTGTCTGTTACTGGGGAAAACGATACCAGATACCCTCTGTATGTTAAAAAAAATATTACACCAATTTAGGAGAAAGCAATCCTTTTTTCACATCTAAAAAAAAATACAACCCAAACCATACATACACACAAAAAAAAACCACCACAAAAAAACCAAAGCCACACAGAGCAAGAATTAGTGAAAGCTTATATCTTCAATAATTTAGAAGTTAAGCCTACTTAAATATAAATGACTATGTTTAATTCCAAGGCTGTTACTGAGCAGAGCTGGGGAGCCTCTCGTATCCTATGCCTGCCCTCGAATGCCGGGCTCAGCAATAACAGACAAAAGCTGTCCACTGCCCAGAACAAAGAGCTCCAGGAAAAAAAAGAAAAAAAAAACGAAAAAAAAAAGGGAAAAAAAAAAAAAAAAAAAAAGAAAAAAGAAAGAAAATACTGTCTCTCTGCTGAGCCCCCTCCAGCACGCTGACCAGCAGCTCCCAACGCCTGGCTCACAGTCGGCAGGCCAGCATTCTAGGGAGTTTGAAAAGCACAGGGTTCGGAGCAGAACATCCCACCCCATCCCACGGAACATCCCGTCCCCCCGGCCAGGCTTTCTGCTCCGGCGCTGTCTGACACGGATGCAGGAGGGTTTATTAAAGTCAGCAGAGCCCAGGAACGCGTCACCTCGCTGTTAACGGGGTCTATAAACCCACCGAGGGGAGAAAAACTCAGAACAGAAAAACTTTCAAAGCGCACCCCAGCACACTTCAGCGGGGCGAGCAAAACGCACCCCGGAGTCAGCAGCGACTGCCCGGCCAAGTCGCAGCATAAACAAACACACTGGGCAACCTGTACAGCAGCAGGCGATAAACTAAACACAAACTGAACTTACTATACAGTTTTGCTTTAAAAAATGTCACTTATTTTCCTTCCCCGAGAAAGAAGTCGTTTTCCAGCTACCCCCACTGCGCTGCTGCGTACCGGGCATCCCAACAGAGTAACAAGACCTATCCCTGAAGTGGATGTAACGAGACAACTTGTATTTTCCAAGAGTTACACCGGCTTCTCCTCGCTGTGGCCGCTCCAAACCACGTGGCAAAATTTATTATGGGAATAGCCCACAGCCTGGTTTCCTAAACAGCCCGGCCGCTAATCTCTGAGTAATCTAACACACGCTTTTCTCCCTCCCACCGTACTGGGCTGCTTGCACGTTTTTTAAGCAAGTCCTATTTTTCTGTATCTTGAAACACAGGGAAGCAAGGGGATATTTCACTGCAGAGCAGGGTCTTTCTCAGACTAGACCCATGTTCGAGCTGCATCACCAGTAGAAGGAAAATACCGCAGTTTCTCAGCAGGACATGTGCACAGTAGGTCCGGGGAAAAATCTCTTTGATGTTTTTTTGCAGTTTGGCCCCAGCCCGGCGGGCGGTGTTACCGGTTGCGGCTGAGTGAGCCGAGCCAG